TTCGATGGACTTTGCCATCACTGAGTGAATGAAAGGGTGAATGTGGGTGTCGGAAGATTAGAAAGGCGCTATACAAGTACAGGTCCATTTACCATTTAAAGACACAGTAAAACAAATCTGTAAAGTTTCCTATTGGCCTTATGCATTTCAGCAACAAGAGGGCACTCTGTTATTTTACAGTCATGTAGTACAGTCAAAATGTTTTATGATCAAACCAAACCAAATGCAGACGCATTCCCAACTGCATGTTTCTTTAAATCTTTTTTCTAAATTGTTTATTTTGTCATTTTTGGAACAGTTGATGATGAGGCACACAGGAAACAAGGGGAAAGAGAGAGATAGGACATGCAACAAAGGTCAACGTAAAGCGTATAGAGACAAAACTGGAAATTAAACACACACACAAAGAAGGGTCAATAATAATAAGGTCAATAATAATAAGGTCAATAGTATCTCACAGACCATATGGAGTGACTGTGGCAGAAGTCAAGGGCAGAGATGATTTGTCTGAAGAACTTCCTGGCCTCTTTGGGGGTCAGCCTGCCTTTCTTCACCAGGTAGTCAAATAACTCTCCACCAGACACATGCTCCAATACCAGGTACCTGGGAGACATAAGGGCAGACATACAAACTGAAACACACACTCACATCCCTCTATAGCTCTTCTTTTTTTTTTTTAGATCTCAGTTCTGTCTTACAGAACCATTCTCCTTTTCATATTCAAGGTTGTTACTGCGCTGGCTGAGATCCAGAGGCAGAGACGTCAGATTAAAAGAAAGTCAGCGGAAAGGAGAAAGATAAAGAGATACTCACAGGTATTTGTTATTCTCATAGACATCATGCAGCTTCAGAACGTGAGGGTGCTCTATTAGTTTAAGAATAGCTATTTCTCTCTCCACCTGGATAGATAGAGAGAAGGGGAGATGCAGAGAAAGGTTAAGAGAGAGGGAGAGAGAAAATAGGAGGAGCGAGGTTAAAAATTATGGATATTGAAATGTCAAAAGAAAGAGGAAGGTAGAGAGAGAGAGAAAGCAAGTATAAAGGCAGAGTTAGATCAAATGTGGAGAGGGAGACAGTATTAAACGTTATTGTAATTCATTCAAGGCAGAAACAAGTTGTTGAAGTTGTGCTAACAAAAAGAGTTACAGTTGTAGACAGGGCAGGGGGAGAATAAACAAATAATTAATGGAATTATTGGAGATATTCTGAATGAAATACACCCTGTGCCTTCAATTTTCCTTTTCAAAGCTTTAAGGTCCAGTCTGTAGGATTTA